TGTGCTTTATTCTACTATTTAGCATTACAGTGACTCCACTTCTCTCTAAAAATAGTGAAAATTTCATAAACCCACTGCAGTGAATAATCAAAAAGTTTCCCAATAGTACAAAGAAAAGTACACGCTATAAAAATAAAGCCCTAAAATGTATTGTTCATTTATAGAGCAACACTTATAGTTAATATTGTGAGTGTGGAATATTACCACACACAGGTCACAATAATGACCAATCATGTTCAAGTATTTGCCATGACGAGGTTAGAACATCGTTGGTATGAACAGGTGACGCACCTCTACTAGAAAAGTTACACTGTGCACCTTTAAACACAAATGTGTCCTAGTTTCTCTGGTGAGGTCAGAAACTAAACCTCGTGTAATGGTGTTTGGATTCAGAGGAGAGCAGCCCTTTAAACTCCTGTTCTGACCCAGTGAACACGGAGTACTCGATCAATACGACGTTTTAAGAGTATGCTAAACTGAGAACACAAGTGCCAGCCAAATGCCCTTTCCACATTTATCATCATTACGCAGACTTCAACTAAAGTACACCTTACCAACATTTACCAGATGTTACAAACTACTACCACGTCGTGTACTTTTTCTACTACCACTACCCACAAATACTGATACTACTATTACCACTGCGTCTTCTCCTGCTCAGACTCCAACATCTGCACTACAACTGAAGCTTCTTCTGTTCCTATTATTACTACTACTACTACTACTACCACCACTTCTATCATTTCAAGTAGTTAAGGGTGTAACAATAACCAAAGTCTCTCAATAATATCGTGGATCATCACAATATATTGAATTACAAATTTCTTTGCTTAAACTCATTGTTATGGTGCAGCAATAGCTAAAAAAACAGAGGGAACTACATCTTCCATGATCCTTTGCTTCGTTTTGGTGTAAACTACAAAGCAGTTCTAAGCACTTTTAAATCTTAGGTCTTTGAATTAGCGTTTTAACTTGTCAAGGCGTTTTAAGAGGAAAAAGTAGCATATTCATAATTTTGTTCGCCTCCACAAAATATCGCAATAAATATCGTACCGTGAGATGTATATCATGAAAATATCATACCGTGGGATTTGGATATCATTACATCCCTACAAGTACTACCTCTTAGTAGTACTTATTTCTACTACCTCTACTTCTAAATACTACTATTACTAATTACCTCTAGTGCTTCTTCTCCTGCACCTCTTACTACTATTACAATTACCACTAATACTTCTACAACCTCTTCTACATTTTTTCTACTACTACTGTTAGTACTACTGTTGTTCCTACTTCTACTGCGTCTTATGCTGCTACGATTACAGCATTACAACTGAAGCTTGTTCTGTTACTAGTACTACAACTACTACTACTACTACTAGTACTACTATCGCCACCACTTCTATCGTTGCACATACTACCTCTTAGTAGTACTTATTTCTAGTGCCATTACTCCCAAACACTGCTGTTGCTGCTATTGACTACCTCCGCTCCTCCTGCTACTATTATTACAACTGAAGATGCTTTTCTTGTATTATTACTTCTACTATTACTATAACTGCCACCTCTTCTATGTTTTCGCTACCACTTCTCCCAAATATTGCTCTTGATACTACCTCTATCACTAGTACAAATGAATGTGACCCTCCTGTTTCTAGTACAAGTACTACTGCTAATATAACTACTACAACTACTACATCTGCTACTTGTTGCTACTACTACGAATAAATACTAATACCACTACTAGTGCTGCTTCTTCAACTACTTTTACTGCTACTGCATAATATGTGAGTAAACATACAAGGCTGACAGCACATGTAGACAGCTTTATTGATCCCGACAAAGGACTTTAATTTGGTCTTGTCTGAACTGAAATCGTATTGGAAAAGTACTTACTGTTGTATACAAAGAGCAGGATGGGTTCTAAGACTAAACGGGAGTAGTGCTGCCTTAAATCAATAAAGGAATATTTGCTGAGGGGGTATAAAATAAAATAAAACATGCTTAAAGATTGGGGGTTGCATTTCTATGGCGTTGCTATCACATAACCAATTTAGATCACCATGTTGCCTTTTATTGTTTTGGAAAATGCTATATTCACCAAAAACGTATTAACATTTCTAGTAGTTGTTTTCAGTTTCGTTTTTGATGCTTTGAATAAAAGAGAGATCAGTAGATTACTCAAACATGCACAGATGACATGTAAAACCTCTTCAAGTTTGTTTTTGATGAGGGAATGTTATAACATGGTAGAAAGCTCCAAAAAAGTAAAGTTTGCATACTACATCCTCTTTAAAAATGTAAAGATTATTATCATTGTTACTGAGGGGATCACATAGGGTTGGACTTTTGGCAATCTTACATACAAGAATAAAGGTCTTAAATTATGCAAAATTGACTCTTGTGAGCTTTAAGCCAGACCTGGAGATGTGTTTTCTTTCATTCACACATTTAAATGATCCTTTATTATTAGTTTGTCTACACCTTCAAAGCTCAAAATGCTCTGTTCCACCTTGTGATTTTATGAAGCAGTAGTTCTCAAGTTAACAGCTACCATTTCCCTTTTGTTCAGAAGATATTGGCAATTCCAGGACTGAAATTATCAAAACAATTCTAATGAAGGTGGATGGAGTTTAAAAACGCAGTGGAGCACTTCCTGTATTACCACATGACATCACAAGGTGGAATTTTCTGCTTGTGAGAAGAGTGAGTGAGAGTTTGTGAGTTAAATGTGTGAATGAAACAAAACACAACTCCAGGTATGTTTGTGATGTACTGTATTGTCATCAACATATAAAACAAAAATCAAATCATTTTCTTCGTAATATCGCTCACCCTTATTTATTCTGACATATACAATAAGGAAATGAAAAACTATGAATTCTTTCAGTAAAAATGCATGATAAAATTGCATCTGCAGATACCATGGCATCATTGCACTGTGTTCTTTGTGGAACTATGTAAACGTAATGTAATTTGTGTAGGTATTGCGTTTGGGGAGACTCCGACCTGTTTGTTATTAAAGTCATGAATCACTGTGTAGCGCATTGGAGCACACTTGGCCTTTCCATAGACTCACAGGGGTGACTTTAGACAACCAAGCGGGGTGTAACCAATAAAGGAAGATCTCTTTACTAAGTCCCAAAGCTAATTATAGCTAACTGTTGTTTTATTTGTACTATCTCAAGAGCAGAGTATGCAGTATATTCTATGGGAACAATAAGCTTGTATATTCATATTTTCTCTTTCTATGAAACGTTTTACTAACCAGAGTAACAGAAACATATGCATTTCTGTAAAATGTGTTAAATGTACTGGAGCAGTTCTAAAAATGTTGTTTTATGTTTTGTTTAAAGGGGATATATTATGTAAAATGGAATTATATGAGCTCTTAACCATGGTATATCTGTTCTCTTACTCAGAGTTGCATTTTGATTTTAATTCATCCTGCATTTTCTCACATTCAAGCGTACGCTGAAAATTTTCCCCTATTCAGACATTCAGACTCAGGGTAATATGTACAGGATTCAGAAATATCAAGTAGCTACAGTATGTTTCAAGGGTGAAAAGTTGAAAACATGTCACTTCTGTCAGTTCTGGAGTTTAAAACAGGATGTTAATGATCCGCTTTGTATTATTAAGCCTTTTTAGACAAATATTGCTGTTTACAATGAACACTGTAAAACGATATGTATGCAATAACTTTATACTAAATATCCCAGGCAAATCTTTGTTATATTTTAGAGTTTCTGTAATTTTATTTTATATTAAATGGCTATTTCTGGGGGAAATGTACATTAAAGTTGAACTCACTTTTTAGTTTTGGAAAGTAGAAATACTTTTAGTTTATCTCCGAAAATAACAGCAAGACACGGTTTTTAGAACATGTTAATATCTAAGGGGACAAACGTACATTTACTTCGTGGAACAAGCATCACTGAATTCTGCTTTTCAGTCCAAATATAATGCTGACAGAATTGTTCTTTCATTCAATAAATGACAACAATTATATCCCAGAGGACGTCAGCAACTGTATGTGACTGAGTTGTTTTCATTTTTTATTGCTCTATTGTGTGTTCTATTGTATGGGCTTTAATGTGTTTTTGGCTGATCCATTAGGATGTAAGTGGTGATTTTAGTCCTCAATGACCACAGTACTTTTGGTGGCCAAGAATAAATGAAAACAAAACATTGTACTTTAAAAAAAAAATATATATATATAGTTTTTTGTGTGAGTGAAAGAGAGGTGGGCCATATATTGTTGGCAAGATAGTATTGAAATTGTTGTTTTGAAAGTATGGAAAATGTGAATATTAAATAAATAATATATGAACTGTAATAAGAAAATCTACAAATTCTCATCCCCTTGGAATTATGAGAATCCATCTGTGTTCTGAGTTGCTCTGAAATATTGCAGTTTAAATTTAAACTCCTTGAGCATAATGGAAAAGCGAAATGTTTTTTTCCACCAAACTCTCCAAAATCTTGACGAGAGTATGGAAAGTATTCAGGAAGGAGAATGTGTATAACTCAACTGCTACAAAAAAACAACAACAAAAAAACAATAGGACCTTACTGGCTAAGGGGATGATTTGTTGAATTTTAAAGCAGACCTGTTATGCAAAATTTACTTTTCAGTGCTTTATACTTCTTTCCTTTCACCATTTAGTCACCAAAAGTTGTTGCCGATCAACTCCCATTTTCACCGCCACTAGTGTTCTCTACTTACTTTGTTCTCCATATTTTCTTTTTTTTTTTTTTTTTGATACTTGTACCTGCCAAGTACTTCACACTACTTTGTTAGAGCGAACAAAATTGCAATAACCAGCTTGAACACGTCACAACATTTTAGATTTCGCCTGATGAATCATATTTTCTGTAATAAAGTTATTTTTTGTAATGACTCCAAACTGTCTTTCTATTTTTAATTAACTAAACAAATCCCAGTGCATCTGCTGAATCTTGGTAACAATGCTGGCCTGCTTCTTGTTGTGTCTTAGGGAGAGATGAGACCATGCAGCCAGCCAAGCCCTCCTTCCTCGAGTACTTTGAACAGAAGGAAAAAGAGGCCAACATCCACAACGAGGCCGGAGAGAACAACGCAGACCACCGCAAACTGCCCACAGAGGGGGACCTGGAAGTGGTGAGTCCCCTTAAGCTGTATGGGTCAAGGTTAAGTCATAATAAAGGATAGAGCGTTTGTTTTGGGGTTTCATGTTAAATTAGTGTTTCAAGGGCCCTGTGCCAGATTTTTAGTAAAACTTGTCTGGTCCCAGTACAGAAATATATTATATAAGCAGGTCAAAATACTCTATATCCACTGTGTACTGTCTGCACCTAATTTAAAGATCAACTGATATGGGTTTTTTCATGGTCGATGCTGATACTGATCGCTTAGAATACAGTGGAACCACTGGTTGATATTTTTAGGGATGTTATTTATAATAACTGTGTGAGCCAAATTCCAGTAACAGGTTTGACAAAGTTGTGATCATTACTGACCAATTATTAGTAAAGATGTAACAATAACTGAAATATCGTGATATCGTATCTTCAAAGTTCTCACAATATATCGAATTACAAGTCTCTTTGCTTAAATTAAGAGTTATGGTGCAGCAACAGCTAAAAAAAGACAGAAGGAACTACATGGACCATGATCCTTTGCTCCATTTCAGCGTAGACTACAAGAAGAAATAACAATTCTAAGCACTTTTAAGTTTTAGTTCTTTGGATTAAATCTCGCCAAGGCATTTTAAGCGGAAAAAGTCGCATATTAACAGTTTTGTTAGCCTCCACAAAATATTGCAATAAATACTGTATCGTGAGATGTATGTCGTGAAAATATTGTACCGAGAGTTTTGGATATTGTTACATCCCTAATTATGAGTCTCCCTACCATATCGTGAGCTTTCCCATGATATCGCAATAAATATCGTACCATGGGGTTCATACCGTGACGATATCGTATCATGAGACTTGGATATCGTTACACCCTAATTATTAGTATCACTATTATTACTATTGCTATTGTTAATCTAATACTGTTATCAGATATCTCTGAAGAGAGAGAGAGAGAGAGAGAGAGAGAGAGAGAGAGAGAGAGAGAGAGAGAGAGAGAGAGAGAGAGAGAGAGAGAGAGAGAGAGAGAGAGAGAGAGAGAGAGAGAGAGAGAGAGAGAGAGAGAGAGAGAGAGAGAGAGAGAGAGAGAGAGAGAGAGAGAGAGAGAGATTTTGATTTTTAACAGACCTTTATTGTGTCTGTCAAAAAACATTTACACTAAATTGCATCCACACCTCGTGCTATTTACATAAAAATATTGACATTACATACACATACTATTTACACTATTTACACTATTTACACTATTATATATTTACAATATTTACAAAAACAGGGGTCCAAAACAGAGACAGAGAGAGAGAGAGAGAGAGATGAGAGAGAGAGAGAGAGAGAGAGAGAATCTATATCTTAGATAGATAGATAGGGCTTAATGAGACTATTTACTAGTCGTAATTGGGCCAACTCTCATGTTTGAATGTTTGTTTATACAAAGTTGTGGTAACACTTCAGTTTAGAGACCACATATTAATCACTAACTAACTGGTAATTGGTGCTAATTAGTTGTTACTTAACTATTAGTTGTTATTTATCAAACAATATTCATGCTTATTGAGATTTTAATGTATGCACAGAAAGATATTTTATAATCCCCACTACTTTAAAGTTAAGAAAATAACTTAAAGGTTTAATACTTGCAAAACACAGCCTTAGTCAAAAATACTTTGAAAGTACCTCATGAATACTAACAAAGATATATTAAGCACTAATTATACATTTTATTATTAGTTTGCTATTAATATGTGGTCCCTAACCTAAAGTGTTACCAAAGTTGTTTTGCAGTTATTTGAAAGATAACTAACAGCTACATCACACATTTGGATCAGTTTTGTCTCACGTTAATTTTACTTTTAGGAAATAAATGCTATTTTCTGTCTCTACACTGGTATTGATTGATATCGGGTCACTATCGGAACAGAAAAACTCTGAATCAGTGCATCTCTAATTATTACTGATTGTTACCAACTAATGTATCATAAAAAAAAAAAGTGATCCTAAAAAAGAATAGGCTCACAAAAAGTTGAACTTAAAAGGTTAAATGTTCTTTCTAATGAAAAACACTAGTAATACTGCTTTAATTCCACATGCAATCATCTTATCTCTTTATATCGCCCTTGAATTTGGCATTACGTACTTTGATGCCTGTAATCTTGCATGCCCCCTGTGACATTTGAAAGCCAAGGTTACTTATTGCCATGATGTGGGTTGCCTTGGCGCCCTGGAGACCACAGATCTGGTTTAAAGCAGAAACATTTAAAGGGAAAAGAGCAGCTGTTTGTCTTGGGCAGCAGCGCTTAAGCAGGACAAATGACTGAGGCTACAATTAAATATTAAGTATGTGACCTTTACATCAATGCGCTCTGCTGTTCCTGGATCTGCCTGTCTCCTGCTGCTACTGCTGCCTCTGCTCTGGGGCTGGCGATGAGACCTATATTCCTGGCAATAAAAATTAATGTGATGTGAGAATATTGAAGAAGATGTTTGGTTTACCGGCAGTGCTAATTTTGAGTAATATTCAGTCCCGTTTCGATCTAGTTTAGTGTTGTCTTAAATTTCTTCTTTGTTTAATATTTGTAACTGTAGTATAATATTTAATAGCATATTACAAATACATAACATATTTAGATCACGACATTACCTTTTAGTGTTTATAAGTCTTCACCCTTCCCAATCAGCATGCATCCCACTAATGAAACTACTGCATATCGCATCAGGTTTGTGAAGTTGCTGTGTACAGTTTTGCTTCATGAATTTTACAGCTAACCCACAAGGAGGGTTCGCTTAGGGCCTGGGAAAGATCTCTAAAATACCCAAACAAGCATGGATGGCACCTAAAACCTCTCCAGGCATGTTTTTGATTAGGGAACAACGCTATAACATGGTAGAAAGTTAAACAAAAATCAATTTCACCTAATACCCCCTCTTCAAAGGTGACATGTTTCGATTGCTCATTTCTTACCCTAAAGGTGCACTGCAGAACATTTCTACAACATTTTGTCTCCATGGAAATGTTATTGCTTTCTCTAAAATGTTCCACAGTATTGATTACAGGGTTCCCACGGTCATAGGAATCCTGGACAAGTCATGAAAATTTAAAATGTAATTTTCCAGGCCTGCAAAAGTCATGTAATTTAGTAAATTCAATGAAAGTTTTGGAGAAGTTATGGAATTTTAGTATCTCTTTCACACAACTACAGCGTTCTGTTAAGCTGTCATTAGGCTATTATGATTATTTCCGAAACGTATGTGCCTTTTGTTTAAAAGAGATGACAATAAATGCATTGACAGTATTTTGAATGTTAAAAAACTATAATACCAAACCATAAGGTGAGTGGAAAGGGATAACATTTCATATTTAGCCCTAACACTATGCTAAAGTCTACACATGTAGGGGTCCGTAATGTCATGGAAAATTCACTTTAGTTCATGAAAAAGTCATGGGAAAGTTTTGAAATTTTGCCAGTGAAAAAGAGTGGGAAATCTGAGATTAAACCTCTCTATCATGACGGAGAAAAGCAGATTACGGTCTTCATTATTCATAGAAAGAATTTATATATTTTTGAGTAATATAAACTAATATAAACTATAAACTAATAATTGAGGTATATGTTTAATGCTACACCATGGAACATTCCAGGCAAAGCAATAACATCTCCATGGAGACAAGCAGATGGCGTACCCTCTGCCAGAAAAGTTGCACAATGCACCTTTATGTAACTATGATAAAGCTGAATTACTGGCCAATGGTCAGTTTTAAAACTTTTTTTTTAGACCTTCTTAATGTATCAGTGAGTACCGGGTCTTAAGATCCCTGAAGCCCAACTCCACCATGTTTTATAGATCTGAAAAAATGAATATGGAAAATAAAAAACTTGTACTGATTGAACTGAGATGTGGTTCATTAAATTCAATATAGCACTCGCAGTACAGTATTGTTGTTAATTAGAATATATGCAAAACTGAGAAAGTTTTATATCCATTTATATGTTTTGAAATTAAAACTCAGTCTGTAAACCCCTGGGTACGCTCTTACATTAAGTCTATAAATAAAGTAATGTAAGTAAAGTTCTGAGAAAGTTGTCATCAGTTAAAACCAAACATTAGTTGCCAAAAGAAAGTTACATATCAGTTATTCAACAAATATATTGTATAAGCAGCTCTTGAGTTCAAAATGTTTTATTGTTTGATAATTAGGAAGTGCTCAGTTATCTGTTGATCACAAACTTTGCTCTGGTCTTTTTTGAGTTTTGAAGAACTCTTAATTAATTTGTTACAATTAGGAAGCTCAGAATGCATGAGGTGAGTGATTAATAACTTTGGACCTCTGCAAACCATTGAATTAATTCTGTTTTTTCACATTTTAAAACAGTAAAAATCATCTACTCTGCATTAACTGTATAGTAGAAGTGAACTAAGGAAGTGTGACGTCACCCATAGTGTTCGGTTGCCAAATGAAGCTCAGCGAGGCCAGCACTTCAGGAACCAATCTGCAATCAGGAACCATATTCAGAAATCCGAGCTCGAAGCCAAAGAGCCAATCAGGAGCTAGATTGTTGAATGTACATGCCTCTTTACACTGGCACCGCAGATTTGGCAGAGGGCGAGCACTTAGCAAAGCTGTCAATCAACGCTCCATAAGCAACCTCAGGGAAAACAAGCACCAAATTGGGCTGTTATTAATGTTCATATCTTAATTTAGGGACAAAATAGCAAAATTAAACCACTCACTGCACTCACCTAAACCCATCTATGGCAGGAAAATATTCAAACATGTACCATAATAATAGACCAAAGGCTTATATGTGATTTGAGCTGTAACTTCGTATGACTGTTGTTTGCTCTCATGTGTGCACTATAAGAAGTTCCCGTGGAGATAATCGTCAGAGTGTTTATTGAAGTACTATAACTCCCGCTGACAAGTAACCGCTGCCTGACCCTCTCCACGGCGCGCACTTCCTCTGCCTGTCATCCGCACATCTACATAGGTGTGCACTGACAGACTAACAGATTACATTTCATCAGAGC